TATTTGTATTCATGCTGTAAATAGCACAATTTTGGTTCCTCTCTTGAGTGGGACAGAATGATCCTATCACCAGTTAAAAGAAAAGAAATAAAAAGCAAACAGTATTTGATCAGTGGAAGGATTTCCTACCAATAGCTCACATGTTAAAGTAATTTATGGAAAACAGCCCTACCATAGCTACCACAAATTTAAACACTAGCAATATTTAGACTTTATGACTGTCCTTCGGGGAAGCTGCTGGCTGCAGCACACTCCTCCGACAGTCATTTCCCAGAACCGTTGTGCTCAGTGATAAGAAGAATACACAGTCAGCAGAAGTCACTGTGGCAGAAATGATCTGGGAAGCTCAGGAACAGTCATCTTGGAAAGTTAAACCAGAAGTAAGCAGCATTACACGTCCTCACAGAGAGCCACGTTCTGTGCTGGGGTACCAGCCTGCAACTCCCCTCACAGCTAGCACACAAGAGGAGAATTTGTCTCCTTGCTTCTTGACTCTAGTAGGAGACACATGGGCCTGTTGAGAGCAGATGGGCTGGTGTGGCAGTCCTGCCTGAAGGAAGCCTGGTCCTGCCTCATGTAGGCCAGTGCAAAGTTTGCCTTTTGCTTGAGCTGGAGCAGGACAGGATTGTCAGCATGCACAGCCACACATGGAAGCCAGAGAAGTAAACGATTCTCTGGATTTCACTACAGAGTAATTTAAAATAACAAAGTCTAGCTTTAAAATGTGGAAGTAATGTCTTACTCAGAAGCATCATGGATCTAGACTACAAAAGCAGAGTCACTTGTGCTGCCTGGATCCAGCAAGCTGTCACATGGAATAGTTAGGGTCTTTGAAGACAATAGAGTGTCTGGCCAGACTGGACGTACATGCAGTGACCTGATTGTGTGGGGAAATAGTCCAGAATAGCTGTTCTGTAATGGCTTTTCTGCATTAGATGCCCATCTGGATGCACTTCTTGCTGAAAGAGCCATTTTTCAATCTGATTTAGAAGTAAACCAAATTTAATTATAAAAAGGCATCTTTAGTGCAGAATGCGTGTTAAAACAGAGTTTTAATGTGCAAAATTTTGCTTTTAAATTTACTCATTATAACCTCCTTTTGCCCTGTTGGCAAGTCCTAAAAGCTGCCTGCAATAAATAAGATTGTTAATCAGAATCAATGTTACTGCAAAGTATTAAAATGCTTCTCCCTAGCAGAATTTTTTTCTCCTGCTCTGTCAAAGTCTTCAACTCATCTCTAATATTTTGGTATTTTTCAGCCAGATGGAGCTCAGCTTTCTTAATCGAATTGGTTTTTTATCTGTATTTCTTTTAAAGTCCTCTCATTTTTTATGCTTTGTAGTGTTAACGGTGGTAGTTCTCTTACTTTGGTTTTACATTATATATATGAAGAAGTGCTGGGTAGCTGTTTTATAAGCTTTTTAAGAGGAAATTTGTTAGATGACACCATATATTTCAAAAAGTCACTAACATTAAATATAATCTGGGTTAGGAAAGAGTTAAGAAACTTCTGGGTTCTCCCCCTGCCATTAGTTTGAGCCAGGAGACAGCTCTCCTGACTTGAATCCTGGATCAGCGTGTTGGCTCCACTGAGCAGTAAGAGAGGAAAAAGAGGAAGAGAAATGTAAAAATGATCTATAAGCAGTAATGTCTCTATATATAGATGTTTTCCATGAAGCACCAGATACTTTTTAAGAGTTAATGGCAAATTGGCCCAAATCACGCAGTGCTTACAAACTATACTGAATTTGCTGTTTCTGCTCCAAAGATGCATTGACATGTTTTCTTTGGAAAGACATGATCAGTCTTGAACAAAAATTACCATTTCCATTGCATCCAGTTATTTCTACTGTTTTTTATTTATAATCCTGTATTGCTTGTTGCTTAACAACGAATGCATATCATGTATAAAACTTAATAAGCAGTGAAACTAGCTGATTGGCTGACTTGGACAGGGAGAGGAAGTAGATGTTATAGGATATATGAAGAATAATTAATTAAATTATCGTAACACTGAACCATAGAGGGAGGTAAGACCTCTCTTCCCTCCTAAGTCCCTCTGCTTAGTTCTCCTGCAGTTGTAATTCTGTCAGCACAGGAAAGAATGAATGCTGCTCACCCTGCTCCATTTGCAAGCTAGTGGATAGGAAAGGATGGAAAAGTGAAAGTTTTTCTTTACTCACTGCCCTTCAGTCTTTTCCCTTGCTTCCAAGAGCAAGTATGTGAGGACACAGAGGGTAATCAGCTGCATTTTTAGAACAGGAAAACATCTTGGTTCCTACTGGAAGGAGGAATCTGTGATGGGACAGGGAATTTATTCCCACAGCAGTGAGCTCTCGCTTACTCAAGGCATCTTGAAACACCAGGAGTGTAGCCAGTAAGTACAATGCAATTGGCTTTTGCTTAGCAGAAAGCCCAACATTAGCCTTTACAGCAAGGCATTGCTTGTAGGGAGCCACAAGAACACTGCCTGGTGTTTAATTATTGTTGAGAAGTGACCAGAATGTTAGAACCTATAAAGGATGAAATATGAGAGACCTGGGAACACCCCAATGGATTTGCAGAATACTGAAGGCACATCAGTTCCCTCCAGTAATACTCTGTTGGCTTTCAGCTGTTTGATCAGACAATAAACAATACAGGATTTTGTATTTCAACTGTTTCCACTCAAACCTGTTTTGCTGCGGTTGTGAAGAATGGAGTTCTTTATTCTCATCAGCCCACCATGTGGGAGGATGCTCTGTTTTATTAGTGGATTACTGGTAGGAGGTGGTAGAAGTACAAGCAAGTTCATGAACAAAGTGTTGGACCAGGAAGGTATTAAAAAAAGCAGCTGGTGAGATTGTGTACCCATGTTCCCAGGGACCCACACTTGGTATTGTTTTGATAAAAGAGTTTGGGACAGTGCCATTTAAAAAGCAATTATTATCTAGCTGTCATCACATACTAATGTGTAGAGTATGGTCAACAAAAGCTTCAATACTCTTGTTTAACGGTGACCAATATTGGAGGTATCTGTTAGGCTTTTGAAATTCTTAACTGTCCACAAAGAGAGAGGGAACTGCATTTTTCCTTAGTGTCACACAGACCAATAGATTTCCTCAAGTATATCCAGTGGTTAGCAAAAACGGGTGACCCAAACGAGCAGATGGAAGGCATGAAACCTGACTGACCTTGTGCAGTAGAAAGTATTGTTTGCTTCCATTGCAAATACAGGGATTCCTTTCGTTCCTAAAATATGAGCAATCTGAGCTGCAGCTTGTTTGGCAGGATGGCAGCTGAGCTCTGTTTGCAGCGATAAGGGTGCAGCCCCTGTTAGCTTTTTAATCGCCGCATTATGCAGGCAGAGTATTACTGAGCAAAAGGCTTTTAAAGAGGCATTAGGATTGTGTTCATTAGAATGCAGTGTAATGTGAATAAGGCAAGCTGGACACAAGTTCCCCCTAGTGAGGGAAACAATAATAGCTTCTGCTAAAGGAGGTAGCTATAAAAATAGACTATGAAGAAAATGAACTTTGCTCAATTAGATATATATGTATGTGTTCTGCTTGTATGTGGACTTAAAGGGCTTAGAGACAGTAAGAGAAGTCGGGGAAGCATGATTAATTAATCACCCAAGTCCTTCTATTCTCTTTTTTCAATCAGCACTTTTGTATCTCTTTTAAAGTTTTGTTTGCCATAGTTGCATATTTGAATAGCTGGTGCATAATCTGGTTGACCTTAACATGCAGAAAGAAACAATGACAAATGTTAAGTTTACAAGAGTTTCTGTACCTCTCAAACATATTTTTCAAAACCTTTATCTCTATTCAGATTGGTTTATTATTACCCAAAGATGGTGGACTTTAAGGCTGTACTTACATAGGAAAAATCATTAGTGGAGAGGAAATAATGACTAAGAAAGGCCATTCTCATGTTTACAAGGTTTGCACAGATGGATAATCTAAGGAACACAGAGGAAATCATCAGGATCAGAGTGGTATTAAAACAAACAAACAAGCAAACAAAAAAACAGCTACAGCATCCCACTGTGTGTTTTGCACCCACTGCTAGCTGTTCAGATGACTGTCATCTGCAAACGCTCGAGCTTAGTCCTGAGTGGTATCTGATGAAAAGCACCATTTTGGGAATTACATGCAGGAGACTATTTAAAGAATGGGAATCACAAGTAGAAGACACAGCTTGCCTTTAAAGGGAGCATGTGAAGCTGAGCAAGAAAAATGCAGCATTTTGTCCCTCCTTTGCACAGCAATACAGAGCTGCCTGACAGAAGTGCAGAGGGGTTCTCTCTTCTCTGTGCACAGATCAGCCATGCTGGTAGTGGCCACCAAAGTGCATGAAGAAACTCCTTAGCGAGTTAATGCCCTCTGTTACAGCACCCACTGGAGATGCCAAGTCAGGACTTGAGCCTCAGGAAGTGCAGCTTGGTGCAAGGGTGGTTTCCCAGTGACTGATATCAGTGTCCAGGCCAGCAATTTTGTGTTGCTTTCAAAGAAAATTAGTAGGAGAGCAGCCTGCATGCCATACTGGATACATACCAGAAACTGGAGTTATTAAAAAGGCATACAGCTCTTTCAGTTGTAAAGTAATTTGTAGCAAAATTCTTGCAACAAAATTTATCTTGTGAGACTGCAATAGCTTTCAACTTCTGCAGGTGGTCAATCTGGACTAATTAAGAGTTATGTTAACTTAAACACATTGCTTTAAAAGTTTAAATCTTATTTATTTTTAAATGATCATCTGATAATTCTGAGAACTCTATTACATTTCCTTTGAGATACATGTTTTAAAAACTCATCATCCACTACCAAACAGTATTCCTGGATGGATACACATTCTGAATGACTGACATTGCTGAATCAAAGTGGTGGTGCAACTTAATTCTACATGCAACCCCTACAACATATGCATAGGTTTTGCTACTGTTTGCTCTACCACTTGTTTGCAGAGGAAGGTGTGAGTTTATCTGTAACACCTTTCTACAATCTTTGCATTTACAGGGACATGGCTGAAGAGTAGCTTGGGCCTTGTGCAGCAAGAAGGAAATCAGTTGACTTGGACTTATATTGCACCTCAGCTGGGCTACTGGGTTGCAGCTATGTCACCTACTATCCCAGGTAAGCTGGAATTCAATTGTACTGACATTCACAGCATTGAGTAATTATTTATTCATATATAACGTTTATATTTTTCAGAATGACCTCATCTGAGATGCCACAGCTTGATCAATAATGGATTATTAGAAAACAGAAATCTAAAGTAAAGGGCTAACATCTTTTCGGTATTGTGGGAGGCAACCCTTAGACTCAGAATCTCTTGAATCATTTCAGTGGGAAACTTTTTTAAGTCTTCCATTCATGTCATGACTGCCTGGTAGAGCCATTGCTAGAAAAGGAGGGGAATTATAGTATCGATGTGTTGGTGTTCCAGCAGGTAGAAAAATACGTGCTGTGAATTTTCTGTACAGAAACTCTCGAAGAAGTGGATTCACCCAAGATCAACATCATCCTGGGTTAGACACTCACTAACGGATTGATTTATTGTCACTGTTTTTTTCTTTTATGCTGAAAGTGCCCATTTTGCTCTGACTTACGCTTTGCATCATCTTGGTGACTGATTAATTCACACCACGAATAACTCAGTATAGAAGTTCTAGGAGATGTATTAGCAGAGTGGCATTAGTAGATGAGCTGGCTGGTTGCCCATCTGCAAGCCTCTTGGCATAACTGTAGAAAATCTCTTTGAACTAGGCATTGTATGACTTATATGCCTGTGGAGATGATTAATGTTGTGATTTGCTCTTCCTTTTTTCTTTCTGTGGCTGCCTCAGATTTCTTAGTATTGGTTCTTCAGCCACCAGTAATCAAAGATAACTGCATAAAAGAGCCAATCAGTTGAACAAAAAACTACTCCTCTTACAGATTTTCTTTATTAGGTTTTCTGGATGAAAACCAAATACAGTAGAAATGAAAATATTGTTGCCTTGGCTGTGCAAGCTAAATAAACAATATCTAACCAAGAAAACAAACTCTAACATGAAGACTGTTTTTACAGTCTGCTTTCATATGCCATAAAGTTGTTTGATGATCTGCAAGCCTTTTATTTGAGGTTATATTAAAAGAAAATGCTGGGATATTTAGCTGATTCATTGGTGAAAAGAGTTTAGAGACAAGTGCAGATCTGAGTAAGCTATCATATTGAATTTAATGGAATTTTGCAAAATAATTGTATTTTAAGAAACAGTAACTGCACTGAGCTAAACATTTCCCAGTAATGCTCTGTCCCAAACTGCAAGGAAGTTATGCTAGTCATGCAGTTATGCCTGTAGCACTGGGGTTAGAAGACCTGTAACTCCAACAGAAGAGGGCCTGTTTGACATTGCAATTTAATTTGTATGGCAGAATTTCTACTTTTATTTTTATTTTCTTTCTGAGGACTAGATCTGGGTTCCTTGAACTTTGTTGCAATGGGAACATTTTCCTGAAAACTTAAAGGGATTTATCTTTTCTTATGTGTGCCTAATGTCCTGAATCAACAGTATCAATTATGTAAAGGTAGTGGTAGGACAGAATATATAAATATTTTAATTTCCCAAATGCAGTATATGTGATGTAATTTTTAATGAGGTTAATGTCTTTTTGCTTATTTTATCTCCTCATTGAATCTTATTTTATTTCTTATCTCAAAAAATGGAAAAAAAATAGCTTTGAAAATCTAGCAGTGGCTCTACAGGACACTCAAGATCCACAGATGAGGCTTTACAAACCTCAAGATCTAGAACCTTGATGTTGGCCAAGGTGCTGTACCTCCTTTCCTGCAGCTGAAAATTTGGGCCTTTCTTTCAAAATTGTGTTAAGGATTTTACAAACCAACAGGGTTAAACATGCGTAATTGTGAGCAGATGCTGCCCACATATGTGCATTCCTTTCATGTTAGAACATTTACGAAGCATTATTGAAACCTGGAGTTATAACACTTTCTCTAGTGGCCTGTTTTTTAAAGCTGCTAAAGATCTGCTCGGCTTGGCTTGGCTTGGCTTGATCTAGGCTTCAGAGCACCAACACATATTCCAGTGAGTCCTATACTGCACTGTATGTACTGTTCAGTGCAAAGCACCACAAGTGTTGTTCAAGACAAGTTATTGGCCACCAGTGCTGCTACATGCATTACAGTGCTGGAAGATGCTGTGGTGGCTTTTCTCCAGTGAGGAGAGCTGTGGCACACTGTGTCAGCCTCAGGCCCTGGAAGGCAGGGTTCACTGATGCATGTTCCCATTGGGACTGACTGCTTTTCCACCCAGTTATCTCCTTGGACTGGCACATGCTTTCTCCACAACTTGCTCCCTTCTCCAGAGATGGTCTGCTCAATAGGAACCAGGGCTACGAACGGCAACGTTGCTCACTTAGCACCCTGATAACAAGGAAAGATGTTCCTCTCTTTTAAGTGTTGTTCCTCTTCCTGTTTGCAGGTTGTTACAGGTCTAAATTCTCTTTTTCTGGCCCTCCAGGTCCCGTTGTAACACACGACATTACCAGCTATCACACAATGTTTCTTTTGGCAATTTTAGGAGGGATGGCTCTCATACTTCTAGTCTTGATGTGTCTGCTTTTGTATTATTGCAGGTAAGATTCACCGTCCTGGTTACTTAGTTCCTGTTGGAAATACAAGCTTTTTTGTGCTCATGAAAATAAAAGCTTTTGTATTGAAGCATTTTTACTTCAGGGAAAAAAAAAATTAAAAAGGCAAGAAAGCACTTTAAGAAGAAAAAAATCAGTGAGATAAAATTTTTTTTAAAGTCAAATTTTATATGATCCTGGATACAGGCAGCATATGCAGTCCCTGCCTTTGATAGGATGGTAGCTGAGTTAATCAGACACACCTGTACCTGTATTTTCCTTGTAAGATCTTCTAAAACCTCCTATCAGACGTGGCTATAGGTACAAGATGTCTGTCATTGCCCCTGTCATTTCAAATGCTACATATTTGAAAATTATCTTCCTTTTAGTCTTATATTAAAATAAATATTAAATGTTTATCAGCAAGTGTGTATTAATGACTGATTTTATATTTGCCTCCTCCGGACATGTGTTCCAACTTGTAACTGATGCTTGAGATATTTCCCAGTTGACATTAGTTATTCTTTCATTTTATCTTCAGTGCTGGGCTAAGCTTTTAATTGTTAGTTTATGTAATGAAAGCTCAGTTGCCCTAACACTAATAAGTACTTTAAAATCTCCCATTAAGACACACTTGCTGCTCCTGTTTCTGTGTACAGCAGTCATAAATGTGTAACTTATTTTATTACTGTTTATTGTAGAAGAAAATGTTTAAGACCACGTCAGCATCATAAGAAACTGCAACTTTCAACAGCACTGGACACTTCTAAGAAGGATCAAGCAACCTCAATGTCCCATATCAATTTAATATTTTCACGTCGTGAGTCGGAATTTCCTGGCGGATTGTCTGTTGCCAGCAATGGACACACTGAAAACTCAGGTGCAAAGGAACTAATCAGCGCTGTCCGCATGGAGATGGTTTCACCTAGTGGAGAAGCAGATATGCATACACCTATGCTCAAACACTCCTTCAGTACTTCCCAGGAATTTAGCTCCCGAGAGGAGCTGCTCTCTGACAAGGGGAAAAACAAGAGCAGAATTTCCTTGGATGACCTAACTCCCAGTGGATCTCTAAGAAAAGACTACCACAAATCAGCAGATGGTTTTCCTTTGAAGACAAGAAAATCTACAGAAACAGCTGAAGGCTACGAGTCCCCAGTGAAAGATGAGTATAGGAGAAGTTATAATGCTATGCTGCCTCAGCCTTTATTTGAAAAGCAAGAGAGAGAAATTCAAGTATCTATGAACCATATTGCTTCTGGAAGTAAATACAATATTCAGGAACAAATATATCCCACACCTTCAGCCCCTGAAAAAGAGCTGCTGGACTGCAGACCTACTGATTGTATGATGTCTCGTTCAGTTGATCACCTCGAAAGACCTACATCTTTTCCTCGACCAGGTCAGTTAATCTGCTGTAATTCTGTTGACCAAGTCAATGACAGTGTTTACAGAAAAGTTTTGCCTGCATTGGTAATCCCAGGTCATTACATGAAATTGCCAGGAGAACACCCTTTTGTTAGCCAGCCACTGGTTGTCCCAGCTGACCAGCAGATAGATCTAGAAAGACTTCAGGCTGAGCTTCCTAACCCTCACGCCCGGCTTTTCCCGCATCCCCCACAGCAGCTGCAACCCCAACAGTTAGCATCCCAAGCAATATCTCAGCAGCACTTGCAAGATGCAGGTGCAGCTGAGTGGAGTCAACAAAATGCTTCCATGTCTGAATCTATTTCCATTCCTGCCTCACTTAACGATGCATCCCTGGCACAGATGAATAGCGAAGTGCAGCTTCTTACAGAAAAGGCTTTGATGGAACTAGGAGGTGGAAAGCCATTGCCTCATCCTCGAGCGTGGTTTGTTTCTCTAGATGGACGTTCAAATGCTCATGTTAGACATTCATACATCGATCTCCAAAGAGCTGGTAGGAACGGGAGTAACGATGCCAGTTTGGACTCTGGTGTTGACATGAATGAACCAAAATCTGCCCGAAAGGGAAGAGGCGACCATCTGTCTGCACCACAGAGTCACCCACCAGTGCAGGAGCATCAGCAGAGGGAGCGGAAGGTTTCAGATAGCACAGCTTACACACAACTTGTGTACTTAGACGATATGGACCAAAGTGGCAGTGAGTGTGGAACAGCAGTTTGTAGCCCTGAGGACAATGCTCTACGATGCCTGCTAGAAGGCACCAGTAAGAGGAGTGGTGTGCAGCTGCCCAGCCTGCAGGAGGAAACGAGAACTGTGGATACCAAACCAGAGCCATTAACTAGTCCTGAACATGGAACATCAGTTCGAGATGATGAAGAGGATGAGGAGGATGAGGAAGATGACCAAGGTGAAGATAAGAAGAGTCCTTGGCAGAAACGAGAGGAAAGACCACTAATGACTTTCAATCTAAAGTGAGCTATTGTGAAAATCCACCATTCAGTGGAGTATAAGATTGCCAAATATTCTTTCTGTGGAAGTGCTTGATTTTATTTTTATTTGTTTTGTTGTGGAGAGAAAAGAGAAAAAAACAAACTGTGGTGAGCAACATTTGAAAGAACTTAAATGCATTACTGTGTAAATGTTAGAAAAGAATTAAAATCATTCCTCTGACATAAAGGCTGCCTCCAGTGAGACAGCTGAACGAAGAGTGTGATTGTTATTCCATATACTTGATATTGGTCATCCAGGATGTTGAAAATAATGAGTTTTAGTTGGTTTATGACCTCAGTCTCCTCATGAATGGGAGCTGGTAAAGCTTTTGTTTTATAGGCCAATTTTATGTTGATAATGCTACTGAAAGTATCTTAAAAACAAGAGTTTGACACATGGTGTCCAAAATTGTGCATTATCTCAATGAAAGGCTATGCATTGCTGCTTTTAGTAATTTTTTGCTTATACTATGCTTTCCTTAATTTTACAAGTTGGTTGTAAACATTTTATGTCCTTTATGATAAACTACTCAGCAATCTATTTTAATGTAAAACTGCAGGAAACTTGATTAGCATCCCTTAGCATTGAAGCCTTTTTATGAAACCAAACTGAACTTTGTGTCGACTTAAGATTCCTCCAATTCTGGTCCCATTTACTCAAAGTGCCTTTTTTACAGTAACAATGAACAGTCCCTTCTTTTGCTAACTCCTTTTAATTGACCCTATTTGGGATTTTATAAACTTCTGAACTTCTACCTTTTATTTTAAGCTGCATGCCAAGAATCCCATTTTGTGCTGAGCATTTCTCATTTCAATACAGTGTATTCTGTAGCTATCATGTATATTGTGGATTCTGTTTAGCCAGGATAGACTTAGAAGACATTTTAAAGGGCCCAGAGTAGCCAAGAAGATAGTTTCATTGGCTGTATATATTGTTAGTTTCCTCTGGAATCATATGAGCTAATCATGCTCATATAAAATGGACTATTGACCAAGCAAGAGGACTGAATGTGTCTAGAAAATTTTTTGGGAAAAAAATAATAAATGTACTGTCCAAAAGTGCCAGAATGACTCTTCTGTGCTTTCTCCATACAGAGCTGCTTGGTTATCTAAAAATTACAATTGAAAATAAACTGCAAAAAAAAATCTTAGTGGGTTTTTCCTGTCTTGGTAGTCATCACATTATTTAATAAGAAAAATACTTTGGCTTAACTTCTGCTGTGGATATTATGTTTTTGTGACTTAATAACACACTTTCTCACTGAGTTCCCATGAACTTCAGTCAATACTGAAATGTAAACCCCTTTTCAGAAGAGCATCTTCTCTGTCTTGATAAAAACATAACTGCTTAAGTAGCTCTGAAGACTTTGGAAATGAAATACTGGTATTACCAACATTCTCTGTAGAGTCATGCTTCCTGTGGGGTCAGTTTTCTTTCTGAGATTTCTGAGGATACTCACACCTTTTTGCACACATTTAACTTTTTAATTAATTGGGTTCTAAGAAGGGAAAGTATGTGGCTTATATTCTTGTGGAATCCTTCATATACATTCAGTTTGTCATGTTTCATTTCTGTTTCATTCATGTTTTTACACAGCATTATCAGCAATCATTCTTAATAAAATTAATTTTTATGTCGTTTCTAACGTGATTATAGAAAGTGTTGTATAGTTCACTGCTCTTTTTTTCAGTAGATTTCAAGGTTTTCTTAGGCCAGTGTTGTAATTTTTGTCTTACTGAATGTCTTACCTGGGAGACTGGGCTCAAGCCAGGAGCAGAATTCCTGATTTCCTAGTTCCCAGACCAATGCTCCTCTCTGTCCAGAAAGCCACATCGCCTCTGTTTTTTCTTTGATTCATGTTTGGAAGTGGTATATGTCATAAAAGAAATCTAAAATAATATTTGTGGAGTGCATTGAATATTGAAAACACTGTATTAGAAGCAGGTTACATTTTACTCACCATGTGCATTCCAGGACCTTTCCTGTTCTGTTTAGGAATTTTGCTTCTGACCACCTATATGAACTGTCTCTGGGGTCTGGGTTACCTATTGACAGTCTGTGCAAGGTCACTGAATGGAAAAGTACTTCTTGAAAGGAATAGTGTTTATCGGATGTCAGAAAATGCTGGTGATGGAGTGTCACGTATCCATTGGAATGCTGCATCAAGTAAACATTCTGGTTGAAATTTCTCCATACTGGAATTATTGTGATATTTACATTTTTACTTTCTCTTATCTTAAATTTGTCATTTTTAATTATATTCTTTTTCAGATTCCTTTGCAAAGGAATCAATACTATCAAAAAAATCAATGCTATCTTGTAAAGTGAGATTGTTTCTATTAAATGGCAGTGGTTTGTTTCTTTAATTGTGTTGGTTTTATGTTCAAATCACATAATTGATGGATCAATAATTTGTGGTCCTAATACGCAAAAGCATTTGAACAAACACAGTGTGGATATTTTGCAAAACTTCTTTAAAGTAGCATTTTTTTAATTGATGTGATACCACCAGCCATAAAATAGTTTGATTTTGCAAAGTATGTTGTTTACAAAATGTAACTCTCAGTATATCCAACATGTCTCAGCCACGTTAAATGAAATTGGAACAGAGGAACACAGATCAGACAATGGGTTGAGATTAGAGCTTTTCCACTGTACACACTTTGTCTAATCTTACAGTCAAGTGACATTATCTGTGTTTTAATTTTCAAAAACATACTGAGGAGGATACTTTGGTAAAATGGGAAGATACTTTCTTACGTGTATTTTGCAGTTGCACGGTGAAGCAAGTACCAATAAAGCTTTTAGAATCTGGAGGAAAAAAGTGTAAATTGATTAGGTCTTAGCATCAGCAGCTCCAAGTGATTTTAGTCCATGTAGAAGGTAAGCTAAAAAGGCAGTTGTGTTCTTATTTTTTTGTGGCAAGTATTAGTGAGGAAAAATGCAAAAGATTGAAATGACAGAGCTTACAAAAGTAATGTAAATACGTTGGGCTTAAAAAAATACTAGGAACAAATCTTCAGTTAATCTATCAAAAATCAGGATTTTCAAATGGATTATAAATAAAAGAATAAAGATAATTTTTAAATCTCAGATTATATTATCCAAAATTCATTTATTGTCATAGGACCTATGAGATGTTAGGACTGTTGAGAATTAATACACATTAAGTGACCATTCAAGTCATGTGTGTCCCCCAGCCCCCACTTTGTTCCCACTGAAATACTTGCTTCTCAAAGCGTATTTAACTGTCTGTAAAGCATCTTGAACTATTGTGATAATGACCTTTTATTATTTGATTAAGTGCTTTGTCAGGATACCAGCATGCTAAACCCTCTACAATTATGGGGAAAAAAATGGTTCCTGCCTCAGAGCATTTGCAATCTAACACATTACACAAATATAAACATGGTACTGAGCTTAGACCAACAGTTTACAAAGAAACCCTGCTACTTGGAAATTGCTTACGATGCTTTTGTCTCTCACAGGAAGGACTGAGTAGCTTTAGTATAGTGAATTAAGCACTCTTGAAATATCTTAGCAGCATTTTCGTTTTCTGCCCTTCATTCTATCCATGAATGCTCTGGAGGACCAATTTTATTTCACTGTCCTAAACCAACATGGTTGAAATTGGTAAGAAATTACATGTCCCATGTAACGTTTAGCCTCTGCAATAGCAGAGGTGTAAATGAGCAAATGTTGGATTAGATATTTACTTTTCTCTAAGAAGGTCCCTAGTGAACCAGAAAAAGTATTTTTTTTTCTTCACCAATGAGAATTCATCTGAGGATTAAAACTTACTACAACACAATACTTTAAAAACTGTCAGTAGGCTGTAACCTGGGCATGGGGCGTGGTAGCCCCATGGACATCCTTGGACCTGTCAGATGAGAAGAATGTCAGACTGCTTTTCTAAAATGTACGGGTGACAAGTAAGGGTTCGTTTGGAATCAGTGCTGCCCTGGGGGCCTCTTTCGCATTTGACATTCTTGAAGTTGGACTGTCTGCCACCTGGTGGTGAACTGTGTCTCCATACGTACTGTCTATAAAGCACAGTTCATACATTCAGGAACAGCATCAGGCAGCTGGCGCAAGATCATCAGTTGTTTCTCAAGCCTGCTGTCAGTCCGAGTGCAGAGATCCCTGACAGCTTGAGACACCTCACCCAGCATCTTAGCTGGGGCAGCGTTCAGCTCCTCACATCTCCATTCCAGTCAAAATGCAGTGTCACTAATGGCCACGTAGTGGACTCAAGTGTCAATGTACCTGTTTTCTCTCACCTCATGAATAACGCCTTTGGATTTAGATCAAAAGAAAGTTTAAACAATTTTAAGCGTGAATTGTTTCAAAAATTGAGACAAATAAGGACAACTCGGTTGTTAACCTTTTTCTGTTGCTCTGCTTACACTCAAATGTAAGCTGGCACCTTCAGTGCTTATCTTACTCATATATGAAATACATATTTCTGATATATATAATATGATGATATATCTTAGATAATGATTGATAGATAGACAAGACAGACAAAAATGATAGTCCCAGTCTGCAAACCATTTGGAATTGGATCTTCAGGTATACAAGTATGCAGCAGCCAAGTACCGTTTTTAGATTAGAGGAGCGTTTTGTTATATTACTCATGTAATTCCAACTGGAAAACTGACACCAGGCACTGCCTTCTATTTTACAGTAATAACTCAAGTAGCATGTAGGTTTTTTTATCAGTAATCCTCTAATATCCACAAGTTATTAGCTTTCAAAACATGGTGCTTTGTCTATTACAACTCAACTGAAGTACTTCGTGTTTTATTTATGTGCTTTTCTTCTAGGACTAAACAGTGCCAGTTAGTATGTTTGATCGTTAAATACCTCTTCTGTCTTGAAAACTTACAGCTTCAGGGAAGGAAAATGTGATGACAACAGGGAAGTACAAATGAAATACTTGTTTGCAGTTTATTTTTGTAATTCTCAGGAGAAGGACTTTTTTCACATGACTGGAGATAGGGTCTCCTGAATAAACCCAACTGAGGAATGGTCCTGCTAGTTGTATATTATAAAGGTAGGAAATGGTGCACGAAATACAGCTGTGGGATGAGAAATCCCACTTTTAAAGGAATGGCTGGTCCTGCTGCAAGAGATGTTGAGCAATAAAGCTGGAAGCGATTCTTTCAGAGGTCTTCTGGTAGAAGTATTGTTTTTTAAAGGGTTTTGGTGATTTAGTAGGGAGTTGGAAAAAGGCTCAGGACTGTCTTCTCTCCATCCGTCACCAGATGTTACAAGGACACTCCCAGCAGAGTTGGGTCCCTGAGCTTCTCCACTCTCTGGGTAGAAACCCATTACTGTCCTACGCATTCTGGAGTTTGCCACTCTGGCTGTGGCATACACACCATAAGCTACTGCAGGTAGGCTCTGTTCCCCACACATTTCTTCTGGAAGTTTACTATCAATAAAGAAAGAGGCCAGAACCACATCTCAAACTCAGGAAAATCTGAAAAGAAAGTAAAACAGCAGGAGATGTGCCCACATACTACCCTTACCTACATGATTAGCGCTGGACCTTTCTCCCAGAGTCCTTTACCTCTGGAGATGAGAGAGGCTACAGCTCTTGGCTTCCATCTCCCCTGTCTTCAGGGAATGTCCCTTCTATAAACCCAACCCCCTGATTCCACCTTCAGTTTTGTCCCATGCTGTGAGGATGTACAGTGTGATGCTAATGACATTCCAGTAAAGCTGCCTTCAGGTGTTGGGGAGGGTGAGTTTTCTCAACCTATCTGCCTCTTTGTGTCTATGCCATTAAACCTACCTTGAATTTAACACTTCTTAATCCTGTA